GAATTCATCCAGTTCCACAGGGGAGCCTTCAATGTGAACCTCCTTACAAAGCCCTGATTGAAGATGAAGTCGTTGGAGATAGTCTTGACGAATTTATGACCATCCCTGGAGAACTTTCTCAGTTCTATCGAGAGACTCCTAAGCATTCTCGTCTTAGCTTGCTTTCGTATTGGCAAACTAAGACGAAAATGCTATCCTAATGGCAGAACACAGACGCCCCAGACACAGATATACAAATAAGGTGAATTCTGATAGGTAGTTGAACCCAATCATGCATCAGCCTTATTAGCGACCACTTGTTGACATTTGAGTAAGAGAGGGCACAGGAGTAGATAGTTAATGAAGTTCCAAGCCAAAAAAGTCATGAAGTGTTGATCAGCGTTGAAAACCTTTGTTCAGAATTCGATAAAGCTTGAAGGCGTGTGCGTGCATTTGCCCGAAAATTTGTAATCACTGAAGCGGATAGAATTCTAAAAGTGAAAGAGACAATAAGGGGAAACACTAATGGTAACTAAAAAAAGAGATAACAACTGATAGGGGTTAATAAGAAACACTCGAAATCGAGGTCTAGTGGGCTACTGCTGCTTCCACATGGGCAGTGTTCCACTAAGATTGCAAATGATCGAAAAGAGTACCTGAGACAGCTGATAAGCGCTAAAGGATCGTAGAAGACAACACTCGCTGATTCTATTACGCTTTTCGCGGCAACAGTGAAACACTGACCCGTGATAATGGGCAGAATTCTATTATAGATGTTGGGTGATGGAAAGCAGCTGATAAGCGGTGCTATGAGGCCATGGAAGGCGAAAATGTCCACCACCTTACCGAGATGTCCCTTGCACTTGCCTTCTTAAAGGCAAGTGCAAGGGACATCTCGGTAATGTGGTGGACAGTTTAAGGCAAATTTTTTTGTTCTAAGAAATGGGGATGACAATTTCAAACTCAAATTTCAAGTAGTTTGGGAATCTCGACAAATTGTTCTCAAGAGGCGTCATGGATATTGTCTTCTGATAATGGTGCTATCATCATTTCACAACAACAGCAATTACCATTCAGGACTTATTGATAACATGCGACCTTCTAGAGTTGCTCATAGACAAAAATAATTTCATGAGATTTTGTCGGAAAACTGAACGTACCGAATTGAACTGGTTGCTGTTCGGCCCACTTACTGAGAAGATAAAGTTCTCACAAAGTGGATTGTTTACGGATTTGTCGCAAATAATGTCCGTCAGTAGTCGAGTGAAGATGTTGTTCGACAAGAATTCATTATCGCCAAATAATCGGTAGACGAGCTAAAATTACTGCAAACCGAAGTGTATACAGTTGCTGTAAGTGGATAATGTAGTGCTACACTTACTTTAAACTGTTCATAGATTTGGCCAAGATAGTAAAACAAGCCCTTGACGTGGGACATGCGTGATACTGGAGCTAGCGAGAAGAATTTCCGTATCTGTAATGATAAAGCTAGGAATCTCTCACTACCCTACTTATTCTCCACATAGTGATGAGGAACAATGTAGAAATCAAAGGCACAGTTTACGATAAATATGGGGTACCCCTTTTGTTCGGAAAGCGAAAGAATATGTTGGGAATAGTTCATCGTTAGTGAAAAAAGCAAGTAAACTAGCCGATTCCAAAAAAAAAGTAAAAAATAATAATAAAATATGGCTGGAAAATAAGGTTTTAAAAAAATGGTGAAAATAGAGCTTGGGGAGATTACCACGGAAGTAGTAGTGGAAGCGGTAATTGGACGAGTTCCAGTAGTTGCAACTGCCCAAAGAGCTAACAACTTAAACTAAAACTGTCCAGAACTGTCTTTCACTGTCACCATGGGTCATAACAAGCCGTTTGAACTTCCTACATGGGTTCCCTCGTGATTGGTGCAGCCTCTACAGTGCCGGTAACTTGTCGGAGGATAGAAACGGTGCAATTTTTGAGCCCTTATAGTGCCCTCTCTAGGCCATTGTCCGACCTGACAACGCCGCATATGGTATACGAGGGAGCCTAAAACTTACTCCAGGGGGATTCTCATTAGCCACTTCTATCGTGAACAGTGATTTGAGAAAAATTAGCGATACAGTGTGAAAATGGAACATTGTGCGGTATCACTGGCAGAAGAAGGAGTGTTACGTTACTTGTAGGGAAGTAAAAAAGTAAAGATAAAGAGGGTGCGGGAGGCATTTGGCCCGGGAACATGCAACATTAACTTTGATCCCTTCGTAACGGTCCGCACATCCCTTGGTCCGCGGCTAAACAAATACAAACTAACTTTGATGATTGAAGCACCTTTTTAGAGAATTCCTGATCTTTGCTGAGTTTGGCAAGCATGGTCAGAGTTCCTTGTGAATGGCCGACGTAGTAGAGAGACGTCTGGTCGGTAGCATTGAGCACATAATCGATCATGGCTGGTAAATCGTATTCGGCCATCTCTTCCCAACTGGAAAATGCAATAGGAACAATTTCGACCGAGATCATTTGGTAAGGGGTCTGTGCAGTACTTTGAAGTGTGCTCACCTGAATTTCCAGAAATCATTAGAATTGCCGTCTAATACAACATGACGCCGAGAGTAAACGTTTCCCCGCATATTACCCAACCACACGTCAAATCCACGGTCAGCGAATAGAAAACCTTAATATCAATGTATTTTATAATTATGCGTGCTGTTCATTCGCGTATTTTCTACCATTGATGTTCTCGAACCCTGTTCTGCTCTCGGTAGTATGCGACATTAAAGAAGATAAGAGATAACGGCGAAGTATGTACGGAGTGGAATTGGAATTCGATTTGGAAACTTCCTGTTTCTTTAGGGCGACTTAATCAGGAGTCATCGGCTGGAAAAGAAATCGAATGTGGTTTGGGCGAACAATTCCGTTCTCCGCACTACTCACCCAGGGTTCAGTAATCACCTGATGACCCCCTGATAGCTCCAAGAAGAGGAAAGAGTTTCAGTGGGTAAGGAACCATCCAGAAAGAGGCTGCTTGGGTTGCTTATCATTGTCAAATCATTTCGACGAGGATATTGTCCGTATCGATATCGATATTACGATATCGATCCATACTTTGGGATTCTTGCGCACTTAGCCCATTCCTTTGCAACTTTTTTCATCTTCACGCGCTACCTGGTCGGCCTAGTTGAGCGAACAGCCGCGATAGAGTAGCGCCTGACAGGTGACTAAGACTGTTTTCTGTTGTTCAGCCTTCGGGAATCACCTCAAAATCCTAGCAGCCTGATTAGGTTTTCTTCACTCCACTCTTTAGGCATTGAATTACTACGACAAAATGGATAATTAGGTCAGTACGCTTTAGGTGAAGCCAGATGTTGAAGCAGAGGATGGTATTGGTCACCCAGAGCAGTAATCCTTTCTCAAAGTATTCTTTCTCTGCATGAATCGAATTCCGAAGGACGCTTGCCATTGTAGGGCCTCACACCGTAGCATCATGCAGGGCTTGAAGGAATGCTGTTTTAATACCAAAGTTCCAGGCTTTTCTCGACTTCGACAGACCGGCTTAGGTGCAAATCATTCAGCAGAATAGCACCGAAATTTTGGGAAACTCCAGAAAAAAGTCTAAGATGTATGTGAATCTTTCCCAGATGAAATATTGATAATCGTTAATAATGCTAAAAAATATCGCTCACCGGCTGATTGGTGAGGTAAATTAAGTAGCCATATGGAGCTGGTGCAAAGGAGACCATGTTGCAAGAAGACCACGGGACGGTATTCTGTCGAATTACCATTTGCTAAAACATTTATTGTACTACAGTTTGCTATTTTCGATTGTGGGGAATGAAACCGATTCAGGTGTATTGAAGTACCATATATGTCCGATTTCTATACAAATGAATTCCCCAGTATGTAACCGGCATGTGTACATATTGCAAATTTGGATGGGATAAAAGTGAATTACTGAACATCATGTAACATCATTTTGGTATGATGTCCTCAAAATAGCTAACCTGTAACCTATTCGAAAATTGCGTTACAAAAAAAAAATTAAGTAAAACAAATACTTCTTTATAAATAATTCCATTTATAACAATCAAGAGTAATTTTGACGAATTCGGGCTAATGTGGTGTACCCTGGCAAGACATACCCCCAGGCCAAAACCTTTCATTTATCCGGGCTCGCTTGGTGGGCACCTGTCTTGTCAGGGTGTGCCTCCAAGATTCTTAGTAGAAGTGGGAAGCGGGAATCGCATCTCTCACGCAGGTTGATTAGCGCCAGAACTCATTATCTGTCTTCTTTACACTTTATCCTTCTTATCCCTCAAAGGCGGGCCTAATTAAAATGGGAACTCTGACATCCTGTTCCTTCCACATTGCGGGGAATTTGCCCGAGTTTAAGTTTTCCATCAACTGAATCGGACGTAATTTCCTTCTCCTAACCGTACAGCAGAACTAGTTGCTTCTAGACATAGCTCTCAGATTTTCGTGAGCACCACAATCATAAAGGTGGTGACCTAAAT